AGGAGGGGTTGCTATGAGTCGGGTCTGACTCAATGGCACATAACAACAACAACAACAGTCCATAAAGACAATGTTCTACATCCTACTTTGTGAGTAGTGACTAGGTCTTAAAAGCTTGTGAATGGTCTTCTAAGGTGCAACTATTGGCCTCACCCCATCTGGAACAAAGCAGCATAAAGAAAATGAAAAACACCAAACACACTGCCATCAGGTTGATTTATAGTGACCCCACTGGGCTTCCAAGGCTGTAAATCTTTACAGAAGTAGATTGCCTCATCTTCCTCCTCTGGAGTAGCTGGTAGGTTTGAGCCTCCAAGCTTCTAGTTAACAGCCAAATCCCTTGACCATTAATTACACCACCAGAGCTGCTTGAAGAAAATCAAAGATGCATGGAAAAAATTAGTTCAAAAGATCATGCAAACCTCCACCTCCACAGCCCTGAGACCAGAACTAGATGGTACCCAGCTACCACTGCTGATGCTCTGAAAGGGATCACAATAGAAGGTCCTGGATAGAGTGGGAGGAAAATGTGGAACAAAACTCATAATCATAAAAAAAGACCAGGCTTCCTGGTGGGATAGAGATTGGTGGAACCTCTAAGACTAGGCCCCTTAGTAACCCTTCAAGCCCAGAACTGAACTCACCCTGGTGGCTCAATTTTCAGCCAAACAATCGGCAGGCCTATAAGGTGAACAATAATACCAAGGAGACATACACTCCTTAAAACAATCAACTATATGAGATCGAGGGAGCTCTGGTAGCATAGTGCCTAAGGCACTTGACTGCTAACCAGAAGGCTGGCGGTTCAAACCCACCAGCCACTCCTCGGAAGGAAGGTTGGGCAATCCTACTTCCGTAGTGATACTGCCTCGGAAACCTAAGGAGGGGTCGCTATGAGCCGGGGCCGACTCGACGGCAAATAACAACAACAACAACATATGAGATCGAAATGGCAGCATTTGTCTAGAGACAAAGTTCAGAAGGCAGAAAGGGATAGGAAAGGGTGAATGGAAATGGAAAATACAGTGAGGAAGTGGGATGAATGCTGTTACATTGTGGGGATTGCAATTAGTGTCATGAAACAAAATGTGTGTGAATTGTTGAGTGAAAAACTAATTTGCTATGTAAACTTTCACCCAAATCACAATAAAAAGTTTTTTTTTGGGGAAAAAAAAAAGATGAGACCCTTTTGCTTGGAAGATGAGAATGACTTTAGCCAATACCCAGAACAGCAATGGTTATGTGTTCACACTCCACTGTTATTGATCCCTCTGTCTCTGTGGGTGAGTTTGGCTAATCTTGTTCAGCTACAGCTGAGAGCATGGTGGAGAACATGAGTCTAAGTTTACTGTGGTTCATAGAGGCTTTGGGCCAGTTTCTCTGGAGTCATAGGAGCATAACTATAATTTTTAGACTGGGTTCAAGACTGACCATGCAGCACACACAACTTGCTGTGGGACAGTGTAGGAGCATCAGTAGAAGCTATGTCCTCGAGATGCTTCTGGGAGGTAAATGATGCTGATGGGCACTCCTCAGCCCAATGTGTTTCTGTGGTGATGATAGGATCTGAAGCCACAGAAAGTATCTGGCTAGCATCATCTGAGCAGTTTCCTGACATATAAATCACAACAGCTCGAGAATGGGAGAGGCAAGAGGCCCCTGGGAAATTCTCTCAGAACATGTCAATCGTCCTGTGTATACTTCGTGGGAGGATACAACCTCATCTGACAGGCTGGCCTCCTGGACAACAGAAGGCCTGGGGGTTCATGGATCCTGGTTCTGTCTCCTTTAGAATACCAACATGTTAGATTTGGGATGCCCAGAAAGAACACTGGGTCCAATGTCTCTGCAAAGAGTCCCCTACTTCCAGGACAATACTTTGCCCATTACATTCCTCACTGGCCTTGAACATAGTTCTGACCACAGGTCATCAGGAGAAGAAGGCTCAGTTCTTCCTCTAAGTTTTCATCATGGAATATTGAAAAAAGGTCTGAGGGGACACTCTCCAAAGAGAGAAATCAGAGTGATATCAGAAGCTGGTGTTTTAGGCTCAGTTTCACTGTTTATTAACTGTGGGTGGTGCAAATGGTTAAGCACTTGGCTATTAACCAAATGGTTGGTGGTTTGAATCTACTCAGAGGTGCCTTCAAAGAAAGGCCTGGCAGTCTACTTCTGAAAAATCATATTGAAAACTGTGGAGCACAGTTCTACTCTGACACACATGAGGTCGCCATGAGTCAAAACTGACTTGACAGTAATTTTTTTTTCTTCTTTTTTTAAAAAAATACGGGCAAGTCACTTTGCTGCTCTGTTTCCCTATATATGAAAGGAACCAATACCCATAATCCCAGAGGGTAGTTTTGAGGACTTAACTGTCAATAAAAAAAACTTCCAGTGTTAAGACTCTCTCTCTCTCACTGCCATCAAGTCAGATCCTACTCATAGCGACCACTCCTTGGGTTTCCAAGGCTGTATCACTACAGAAATAGATTGGCCAATCTTCCTTCCAAGGAGTGGCTGGTGGATTTGAACCACCAGCTTTCTGGTGAGATATCAAAAAGTCCATTAGCTATCATTTAAAATACTTTAAGAGTTGTATGGTCTTAGGACTAAGAACGTTAAGAGTATTAACTCAGGAAATAATTTATATATCTTAGACTTTCTTCTACCTCATGAAGACAACATTATTTCACTCTGTTTAACATACATAGAAACTGAAGTGCGTAGAAGTTAAGACATTTGCCTGGGAAGTTGCATGACCATGATTTGAACTAGGTCCATCTGACTTCCAACTCTGTTATCTGCACCTTCCATCCTGCTACCTCTCATCAGGGAGAACTGCTTTATGCCAACGAAAAAATGATACTAGAAGATCCCTTAAAATACAGTGATAAATTTTCATCCTACATTGGTGAGTAGTGACTGGGGTCTTAAAAGCTTTCAAGCAGGCATCTAAGATGCAGCTAATGGTCTCCTAGCATCGGAAGTGAAGAAGAACGCACAAAACAAACAAACAAAAAAACAAGGGCATTTAGAAGCAATCAACCCTAGGGCCCTCAAGACCAGAAGAAGTGGATAGTGCCCAGCTACCAATGGCAACCACTCAGGAAAGGATCAAATCTGGAAATCCTGGATAGCGTGGGAGGGAAAACATGGAACAAAATCCAAAAACTCAATAATGACCAGAATTACTGGTCAGATGAAATCTGGTGAGACTCCCAATACTATGGCCCTGAAATACATTCTGCGCCTGGAATAAAACTCACCCCCAGGGGCAGGCTCTCAGCCCAATAGTTAACAAGATGTACACTCAGACCACTCAACCCATGATGCTGCACCCACACACTCAATGGTAATACATCCCTTAGAGCAATAGACCATGAGACACCAAAGGACCAACATTCAAACTGAGGAAATGCAGGACAAACAGGAGTGCATAATTATGAGGGGCACAGGAGGAGGGTTGCAGGGTAGGGAGGGGAGGAGACTGGGTTAGGGTTGAACATGGTGAATGGGGAATGAAACTAAATGTACGTTGAATGTAAAACAAGCTCTTAAAATATAAATAAATAAATAAATAACATGCCTTTAGGAAAAAAAAAATATATATTTTGTTGTTATTTGCCGTCGAGTCGGCCCCGACTCATAGCGACCCCTCCTTGGGTAATTAGAAGGCATAAACCCCTTGGGTGGGGAAGGCATGCAAGGTAGTTGACAGAACCTTTAGGCCCCCAAGCTTGGGCAACAGCAAACGTTTGTTATACTGCCTTGCGATCTTAAGCTAGCTTCTGGATTTTGTTTTACTAAATGGAATATGCAGGTGTGGGGCCAGGATGATAAAGGGGAAACTAAGCAGATCTTTCTCAGTGGTTTTCCTTTATGTTTTTCCCCTTCAAAGCACATGGCTTCTGATCTCAAGCAACTCTGTCCAATAGACAGAGTGATAATGGAAATCTTCTATATCTCACTGCCCATTGTGGTAGCCACTAGTCGTATGTACCAACTGAAATGTAGCTACTGATACTAAGTATCTAATACTGATATGAAGGGACTGAATTTTAAATTTTGTTTAATTTCAATATATCTCAAATAGCCACATGTAACTAGCAGCTCCCAAAATGCAACATCCTCTCTTTTTTCTGCACTGACAAACTTTAAGAAGCTGGTGGTAGTGGTCAGCTTTCCTTCCTCTTGTCCCTTTCTCCCCAGACCAGTCACTGGCTGACACCTGGTGTTCTGTGTGACAGGCATGATGGAAGTGTAGGACAAAAGTGCTGTGTGACCTCTGAGAGAAGAAGAGAGGCAGGCAGAGGCACTTCTTACCTAGCAGGAGAAGAACCTACATTTTTACAGATCTGCACAAATCATTTCCTTAGACCTTGACACTAGAGTTGGGAGGGAGGTTGAGCAACTGCTAAGGTTTCTGAGGACTTTCATGCTCCAAGCTGGTCCTATGATGAGATGCTGGGGCTTTCTTCCTTCAGGCCCATGGCAGCTCCAACTCTCCAAAAATCAGAGTGTGGACACCAGCCTTTTGCAACAGGAAGGCCCCTCACAGAAGAGATAAGCTGGCAACCTAAGCATCTTCAGCCCATGAGTGGGCCATAGGTTGTTGGGAGTGGATAAGCCAGTCCTTGGTTTTCTAGCCTTCATGTACCAGGGCTGACACATTGGACTAATGTCCCTGCTCCAGCCTTTTATGTCCAGGACAGAATGCATCCTAAACTGGCCAAGCATTTTGAACACCCAGACACAGGCATGTGATAAAATGCAAAAGATTGGTGATTATGCATGTGGAAAGAGATGGACCAAGGGTATGGAGAGATCTGGGGCTATGAAAGCAAAGGCTGCCTTGCCACTTCATTAACCAGCTGCTCAGTGAGCATGTGGGAGGCCAAGAGGATCATTATCTCCTATCCCCTTACTCTCTGCGTTTCCCTCTTGCCTTGCTGTCTGTCTGTCTATATCTGAATGGAGCACTGAGGAGGCAGGCTCCTTACCACCCCGTAGGCAATGATGTCCGAGTACATCCTCATTTCGGGGTACACGCTGACCAGGTACCACCGGAAGGTCTTGCATTGCAGCTGCTTCCTCAGAGCCTTCCTAGCGGTGATGTCCCCGATGTCAATACCTGAGTCCTGTACAGAGAGGCAAATGCAGAGATGTAGTCACCACCAGGATGCAGCTTCTTCCCAAACCTCACCTTGTTAGGACCCAGAATCCTCATTCAAGATTCATGGAGACTGTCTTGTGAAGGGACGATGTGGGAAGTTAACCAATGCATTTTCCCACATGTACCTTAACCCCATAACTATGACCATTTGGACTCAGAAGTGAGGTCAGCATTGATGAGTATTGTCGTAGAAAGATCTTGAGAATAAAGATGCCAAATCCTTAGATTTTAAATAATAATAATAAGCTGTAAGCTTGGTATAGGTCTAGGAAATGGAAGAATACAGTATGAGTCAAGTTTTTCCTACTTGAAAAGGCAAGATGAGAGACTCTTAATCTGTAGGGTGAGAGGGACAGGGAAGGGAGGAAAGTTGAAAATGGAATAATACTAATTCTAATACTATTCATAATATTCATAATACCTAAGACTTAAAAAGCACTTATAATGTGCTACACTCTAATTTATATGACATATATTTATGTCCATTGTCCAATTCAAATATATGAGGTAGCACGATATACTCCTCATTTTATAGATGATGAGTTGAAACACAGAAGTTCAGTAATCTCTTTGATAACTTGTCCAAAATTCCATAGCAGGATTTTGGTCAAGTTATCATATATAGTGGAGCTGAGACTTGAACCCAATCAATCTGGATCTGGAGTTTGTGCTTTTAACCTTGTACTACACGTCTGGAAGATCCTGTCCTCTGCCTGCTGAGACCAAGTCCTTGTGGGAAAAGGAAAATCTCTCCTTAAATGTAAAGAGAGAGTATATGTGTCCCTCGCTGCCCAGATACATCAGAGAGGTGGCCTCTGAGCCATCCTGATGCACATATCACAGAGCAGATATACTGACATGAATGTGACCACCAATGAGAGGGATGGAGAAGCCCCACAGAGCTTGGAGTGGTGCATCTAAAAACCAAGGAACACCAGAGCCACCAGAAGCTGGAAGAGGCAAGGAAGGATTATTCCCTAGAGGCTTTGCAAGGAGGGCAGCACCACCAATATCTTGATTTTGGACTGCTGGCTTCCAGAATTGTGAGAGAATAAATTTCCAGTGTTTTAAGGTACTCAGTTTGTGGTATTTTTTATGGCAGTCCTAGGACACAAACACACTTAGCCACACAAAAAGCTGCCCAGTACTCTGCCTATATGTGCAGCAATGTAATCACAAAATTGAGACGGAATAGGCTACTCTGTAGCCAAATGTAAAGAAAGGACCATTGCCTACATACTGAGGTGAAGAGACATCCCTGGCATTCAGCCTGTCTTTGGGGAAGATGAAGCAGAAAGAGCTGGTCTAGAGTTCCTGAACACTGTTGAGGAAAAAATTGATGCTTTGCTGTAGGCTGATTTCCTGTTTGGTGACAAACAAGCTGATTTTCAATTTAAGTAGAAAGATGTGAGAGCTAGAGGCTCCTCTGATCTCTCACAAGCCGAGGCTGAACGTGGTGAGGGAGCAGGTGAGAAGCTCAGCTATGCCCAGTGCACAGCCCCAGAGGGGACTCAGCACAGAAGGTAACAAGGGCAGCAAGACTTTGACTAGCAAGGGCTTTTCCCAACTGGGGAGAGAATGTACAGGGCCTGAGCAATAACAGCTAATGCTTATCTAGCACGTTCTGGATGCCAGGCACAGATCAAAGTCTTTGCACACATTAACTTAGTTTACTTCCAAGGAAGCTCTAGGTCTTGCAGACAAAAGCTTAGGTAAATGGGTAACAGATATACCTATGGTTGAGCTACGGGTATTGGATTGTTATCACATCAAGGGTAGCCAGTAAAACTCCTGGGGGAAATGAACAGGGTATGCACTAAGTCTCAGTCTTTGCCTGAAAGGAGCATCTGGGTTTCAACACAGAATTGGAATTTAACTTGAGAAATGAATGGGAGGTGAAAAAGTGTTGACTCTTTCCAGAAATTTGGTAAAAGGTGTCAGAGTTTGGGAATAAAAGGGAAGAGGGAGATCAGGAGACAGTTTCCCTCCCCGCCCCCATGAAAACACAGAGCCCTTCCTTTTCCACCTAAGGTGGTATCTTGGATACCTCCTCCTCTCATCTGCCTTTCTTGTGTTCACTTCTCCCTACTCACTACATCTGGTTTGAACTACTCCCACTGAGGAGTCCCAGACCCTGAGCTTCATCATTTTTCCAACTATTTTTACTCACTTATTTCTCTACCATCCACTGGATTTGATGTCCATTTCAACATCTGTCAGCTTCGATGGGAAATGGGGCTAGAAGGTTTGCAGCTGGGCATGCAGAGAGAAGGGGGCAGAAGTGTGAGCAGGACTCCAGTCCTTTAGCAGAGCCTGGGGATCTGCAGTGCTTTGCTACTGAGCTCCTGGAGAGTTTTTAAGTATTCTTAACATATTGTCATCAGAGGATACCCCTGGTGGGGCTCAGCATTCTGTGTAGAATGCTGTGATCCGACACCTGCACCACAGACAAGTCCAGAAGGCACAGTGGTTTCCTTAGAAACACTCCCACTATCAGCGATTCAATCCTAGGGCTGGTTCATTAGGGTTGGCTGCACACCGGCTGGTACTCTTGGCTTCTCATTCTTCCTCCCAACTGCTGAAATCTCACTAATCCCAGGGGTATACAACCCAAACACTCTTGCCCTTCTCTTCTTCCATCCCCACTTTTGCATAAATGCTCTTGCCTGTGCCCCACTTACTTTCTCAATCACTTAGAGCAATATTAGCCTGGTGGAGAGTTTAAGAAGCAGGGCCTTGGAAATTTTAAGCAAAAATCAGTCACTTCTCTATTCAGAAGATGGAGCTGAGGCTTTCTAGAAGACTCCCAAGGGGGAGCCATGGCCTTGGGAGGGAAAAAAGGAGGTCAAAAGTCAATAGTTTCATCTCACATAGACTGCAACATAAGTAATGAACTCCAGGCAGACAGGCTGGTAAGCAGGTTGGAATCCCGTGGCTGGCATCTGTTGGGTTCTCCCATCTTAGCAGACAAAGTCATTTCTATATGACACGCAGCAAGATTGAATAAGACTACTAGAGAAGCATTGCTTTTCTCCAGCATCCCTTAAGTATAGGTGATTAAAGGATAGAAGCTGTGAGATTCTTTGAGGCTAGAAGCCTAAAATAAATCCAGAATAATTCCTTTTTCCTACTGAGAACCCTATAGGAGTGTATCCCATCCCCATCCACAGGGCTCAAGAAATCCCCAAACCAAAAAACCAAACCCCTTGCTGTCCAGTCAACTCTGACTCAGTGACCTTCAAAGGCCTATTAATATTCATTATTGCTGTGGTCAAAGGTTTGAGGGAGAAGCCTGAATCCAGTCTAGGGGGAGGTTTGAGGTCCATTTATGAATTTGGTGCTTACTAGTGTATTTGTAAGGAGCTCTTACTTACCACTCTTACTGGTGGTGCAGTGGGTAAGGCATTTGGCTGCTAACTAGAAGGTTGGTGGTTCAAGCCCACCAGCTGCTCCATGGGAGGAGTATGAGGCAATCTACTTCCATAAAGATTTACAGCCTTGAAGACACATGGGAGTTGCTATGAGTTGGGAATTGACTCAATGGCAGTGGTTTTGGTTTTTGGTTTAGGGTATTTACAATCCAGTACCATAAAATACCTAATGTTGTTTAGACATATCAGAGAATCTGAGCACCTGGGAGCATGAAAGAAGCTTGAAGCCATGTGGTCCAGCTTTCTCACTTAAAATGGGGAAACTAAAATCCAGAGAAAAGAACTCCTCCTTTAAGCAGGCTACCTGGGAGTGGGATTAAGAAATGGCTTCAAGCCTCAAACCCACTGCCATGAAGTTGATTCTGACTCATAGTACCTCTATAGGGCAGAATAGAACTGCTCCATAGGGTTTCCAGGCTGTAAATTGTTATGGAAGCAGACTGCCTCATCTTTTTCCAAGGGGTGGTTTGGTTAGAATCTAAATGCTTTAACTGTACCACCAGAGCTCCTCTAGAGCCTCATAATCAGCCCCTTTTCTTCAACATGTGGTGTCTTTGGGGGTTGAGAGCCCATTCTAGCATGGAAAACAAAATTCTGGGTGATCCATAGGAAGAAGAATCTACTCTTACGTTTTTTTTTTTTTTTTCCTCCACCAAATCCCAAGAAAATCATCCCCACAGGACATCCCTACCTCTTGGGGTATGTTCCATGCCATGTAGACATGGCTTTTAAATTCATCCATCCAGACTTCAGCCACCCTGAGGGCATTCCTTCGGACATGGGCGGTGAGATCCTCAGTGTAGGGCTTGTGGGCTCGCTCAATGTGGGCAATCCTGGAGCAGGGTAGGACCTCCACACTCCCGCCACATTGCCACACCTGCAGAAGACACGAAGCCACTCATTCAGTGCTCATACCTGACTCTGCACCCCTGACCCTGGCCACATGGGCACTCAACACGAGCTAGGGAAATCAGTTCTCTTCACGCTTTCTCAGACCAATGGCAGCAAAGGGGATGAGCGGCACCTCATCTACTCCTAAAACCAAAAACCCATGGCATTGAGTAAATTCCAAACTCATAGCAACCCTATAGAACTGCCCCATAGGGTTTCCAGGGATGTTAATCTTTACAGAACCAGACTGCCTCATCTTTTCCCTGCGGAATGGCTGGTGGGTTTGAACAGCTGAGCTTTTGGTTAGTAGCCAAATGCCTTACCTACTGCCACCAAAGCTCCTTTCTACTCCCAAAGAAGGATGTTTATTGAGTTATTAAGTTGTGTCTTTTTTCTTGCTGCTATGGATTTTGTCAGCAAAGATTTAAAGCACCTTCTCTTCCCCGCTCCCACCACTCAAATCTGCTCCCTCCAAACAGAGACAGACATTTTGTGATCAAAGATCTGAGTCCTCCTTGACCCTAGGGGAAAAGTTAATGAAACCTTGGAGCTCCCAACAAAGATATCCATCTTCAAATGGACCACATGAGCCTGAACAAGGATTAGTGATCAGCACAGAGAGAAAGACATTCTCTTCTACCACATCTTTCCTGGACTTAGAGGTCTGACAGGACTCAAGGGAAAGGAAAGAGTCACAAAGAAGGGAATAATAGTAAACTTCTCAGTAACTCTGATGAGTAGGAATTGAACTGGATGCAATTTGATTTTGAAAAATAAAGTGACCTTTTATGGGTGTTGTGTTGTGGGTGTTGAAGAGCAGTGTCTTAGAGTTCTTGCCACAATCATGCCAACCACTCTGAACTTTCAATGCTACTAGATATGCATGCTCATTTGTGTCTCTGTTTGTCATTGTAGAATGCTCACCCACTTCTCTACCTGGAAAAATCCATCTCTTAAGACCCTGACCACATAGTCTCTCTATTGTGGAGTCTTAGCTCAATCCTCAGGGCAGAACTATTTTATATTACAACTTACCTGCTGAGAAGTCAGCCTCTCCCACTGCCTGTGTATTCCTAGAGGGAAGACTCTATATCTCATTCATTTCTCATCTCTAGCAGCTAACACAAGATCTGCATATAGTAGCATTTTAAAATACTTGTTGAGTAAATAAATAAATAAAACCAGTTGCCATTGAGTCGATTCAACAAATGATGACCCCGTGTGAGTCAGAGTAGAACGGTGCTCCGTAGGGTTTTCAATGGCTGGTTTTTCAGAAGTAGATCACCAGGGTTTTCTTCCAAAGTTCTTCTGGTTAGACTTGAACTGCCAAGCTTTCAGTTAGCAGCCGAACACATTAACTTTTTGCACCACTCAAAACCAAAAACCAAAACAAAACAAAACAAATCCACTGCCATTGAGTCGATTCTGACTCATAGCAACCCCCATTGGGTTTCCAAGGCTGTGCATCTTAATGGCAGTAGATTGCCTCATCTTTCTCCCGTGGAGCACCTGGCGGGTTTGACCTGTGAATCTTCTACGTAGCAGCCAAATGCTTTACCCACCATGCAACCAGAGCTACTTTTTGCAACACTCAGGGACTCCAAATAAATTAATGGTTGATGCTTTAAAGAAGTGGGATGAATCTGAAACATCAGGTCATAGCTGATGAGTGAGGCTTATGAGGGAAAACAATCAAGATCTTTTGGTCTAGAGTAGTGGTCACTTACCAGACATTGTCAACTCGATATTTGATGTATAATGTTCACATATATAACATATGGGCACTCAACATGAGCCCATATGTCCATTGGTAACAATAGGGCTGGGTCTAAGATAAGGTAAACTCTAGATTTAGTTTAATCCTTTCTGTGTTAGTTAGGGACAAAATGCCTTCTCTTTTACTACTCTATGTCCTACCAGTTGTTCTCTGTAGGCTGTTGGGTTCAAAGGTGATTTACTGATTTGTCACTTATCTAAGCTTATCTTGCATTTAATATATCATTTAGGGCCAATGGAAAGGAAATAAGCATTCTCATTAAGGATCCACTATGTGCCAGGCACTGGACTGTTCATGTGGGAAGGTAGCATAACATGTAGTTATGAGCAAAGGGTTTGGAATCCTATCACTTGGGTTCAAATCCTGATACTGCTTCATACTAGCTATGTGACCTTCACCATGCCACTTGATCTTATTATGCCTCAGTTTCCTTATCTAAAATAGAGATCACAGTAGTACCTGTCTCATAAGATTATTGAGAGGATTAAAGTAATTGAATGCAAAGTGCATAGAAAAATGCCTGGCAAAAATATTTGTTGTTGCTGTTAGCTGCCGCCTAGTCGGCCCTGACTCATGGTGACTTCATACACAACAGCACCAAATGAAACCTGGTCCTGTGCCATCCCCACAAACAGTTGTGGATGGGATCATCGTGGTTTCTCATTGGCTGATTTTTCAGAAGTAGATTGCAAGACCTTTCTTCCCTGCCCATTTAGTCTGGAAACTCTGCTGATATGTTCAGCATCCCAGCAACATGCAAGCCTCCACTGAGGGATGGGTGGTGACTGTGCAAGTGGTGCATTGGCCTGGAACCAACTGTGTCTCTTGCATGGAAGGTGAGAATTCTACCATTGAAACATCAGTGCCTCTTAGCACACCACATTGTGTTTGTTTGTTGCTGTTGAGTCAATTTTGACTCATGGTGACTTGACGCATGCAGAGTAAAACTGTGCTTCGTAGGGTTTTTAAGGCCTTGATGTTTTGGAAATTGATCACCAGGCTTGTCTTCCAAGGCACCTCTGGGCGTGTTTGAACCTCTGAACCTCCCACCTTTTGGCTAACAATTGAGTGTATAACTCTCTGCATCACCCAGCAACTCCTCAACATATAATAAGCACTGGTAAATACCAGCTATTATTATACAAATCTTTTTTTTTTTTTTTTTTTTTAGGATTTGGGTGAAGATTTACAGAGTAAATTCACTTTTCATACAGCAGTTCACATATACTTTGTCTCATGTCATTGACCAAAATTTACAATGCAGCAGCTCCCCTCCCACTTCCTCCCCATAGTTACCTCCTCCCAGTGTCCATCCCTTCATACTCTTCGGGAGGCCCATTGTCTGCCAACCCTGTATATGATCTTGGATACACTCTCCATTTAGACATACATAATTGTTTAGCTTGTTCACCCATCTATCCGTCCCTATACCCATGTTTGCTTTCATTAACAACTCAGTATTGTATTTACAAAGGGGTTCATATTTGTTGTTTGTACTGCCCATGTAACTCTCTCTGTCTTTCTCATCCTCAATGCTGCCATATTGGTCACTCACATTTGGTACATTGCCCTTCTCTTCACCCAAATCAATATTTATCTCTATCTATCTAACAGCATTCCCTCCCCTTCCCTCCCACCCCTGGTAACCAACAAAGAAAATGTCCTCCAATACATAAACATTTCCTTAACTTTTACAATAACGGACTAATACAATATTTGTCCTTTTGTGACTGACTTATTTCGCTCAGCATAATGTCCTCCAAGTTCATCCACGTTATGCGGTATTATACAAATCTTAAAGTGGAATCTTCAGAATAATCCTGTGAGGTAGGTGTTATTATCTCCAATTTAAAATGAGGAAACAAACTAAAAAGATATCCCCTGCCCAAGAACACACAGCTGGCATTGAAGACTACCAAACCCAAACCAAAGTCACTGGTGAGTCAATTCCAACTCATAGTGACCCCCATTGGGTTTCCAAGGCTGTAAATCTTTACAGAATACACTGCTTCATCTTCCTTTCATGAAATAGCTGGTGGGTTTGAACCACTGAACTCTTTTTGGTTTAGCAGCCAAATGTCTTAACTATACTACCAGAGCTCCTTTGAAAACCACCAGAGAAGCTCAAAGAAGGGTCAACACTTCCCTTGAGGTTGCCATGCTTTGAAACCAGTTACTACACCCAGAGATTGCTCTAAAGAGTAGCAGAGGGGGACCTTGAAGGCCCAGCTGTGCCCCTTCATTCTCATGACCTAAGAATTCTGGGTATCGTGCTGATTTCCAATTCACTTTGCTCCAATCTTCAAGGAAAGTCTGTGAATACTATGAATATGTTATTGACAACACAAAGAGTCTGGGTAATTTTTCTTTTTGCAGCTGGAACGGAGGCTATTACTTGACATATTTCAACAATACAACACAGAATATGATTCGTAACAAAGCCTTTTATTACAAGACCTGTTTCTCAAAGAGTCGTTTCACCATTTCACCTTAGAGTGAGTGCATCTGCTGTCATTCCAGTCAGAATGGTGACAACAGCACCGCCTAACATAGTACACAGACCCATAGTACAAGGAACAGTGTGAATTCAGTCTAGATCTTGATTTACCTCGCCTACCCCAATTTCTGCAGCCACTACCCTTATCCAGACCACTGTCATCTTTTATCTGGACATTGAAGCAGCCTGCAAACAACTGCTGTCCCTTCTCCTGTCCTCCTCCTCCAATCTCTTCTCCACATAGCAGTGAGTGTGAGCTTTTAAATGTATGAATTGGGTCACATCCTCTTTCCTCGGTGCCAAACCCTCCATAACTCAGCCTGAGAGGCAACTCCAGACCTGGCCACCTGTCCATCCTTCTAGCCTTGGGCTTGCTATTCTCTGATAAAGTCGGTGCTACAGCCACACTGAACTTCTTTTGGTCCTCTCACATGCCAGCTTTCTTCTTACCTCTGGACTTTTGCCCATGCAAATATGTACCCTCCACACCCACCTGGCTTCACCTGACTCTTCCTTCAGGTATCAGTTTAGCATCACTTCATTGATTCCTGGTCTTTCCCTGATCATAGCACTATTGCAATTGCTTATTTAATCATATCCTTCACTCTTTCAAAATATTCTCCAAATTCTCTAGGCTCTTCACCATATTCCCCTTTAGACATATGCTAAATGGTACCCAGAACAGGTCCCAGTTTCCCAGCAGAAGTGGGGC